GATTGAAAAGTGACAATGGAGAAGAAGAAAGATAGATTCAGTTCGAAAACAAAATTGAAGCATAAAAGAGAAAAACAAAATGAATCGAAGTTTAAAAAACATAATAACAGAAGGATGCCAAGGCCAAGCTACTTGGCCTTCTTGGCCTTCTTGGTGGCCTTAGGTTTCTTTGAAGGTGGTGAGCTAGGTTGTGGCGCAGAACGCTTAATTGAAAAGCGTACAACAGTTGGTTTGGTCGCTAATGGATCCACTGGATGAGGATTTATGTGTCCAGTTCCAACATGTTGGTTATCATCATTTGGTTCTTGAGATTGATCCAAGTTATCCTCGCCGTTTTCTCCTGTGCCTTGAGACAAGTTTGAATGAGTTCCTAAAGAGGTCAATAACTGTACAAACAAACTTGCCTGGTTTTTCCATTTTGAATGCCAGCATAGCCAGGTTAACCTTCTTGCGCTCGTTCAATTCCACATGTGCCGGTTCTTCAACAACATTGGTCTCAGATAGTTCTGCTATCTGGTCTTCAACTCCCTCAACGTCATCTGCTGAAACAAAAGGAATTTCGCCGCTTGGGTTCTTCTTAGAAATAACGGCAATTCCATTGTCAATTGTCTTTTGTTCTTCGCTTGTTGGCTTGCGCGAGTATATGATCCAACTAGTCCTTGGTTGCGCTCCAGCAATCAGACCTGTGTCTCGCCCCAGAAGTTGAGCTCGACCATCATTCCGGATATCGTCATAAAGCCAGACCCCAATGACTCCATCTAAATGTCTAATAAGCTTACACCAATAATGTTGACCTCCCCAAAAGCCACGGGATACAATCTTGTAAACCACTCCATTAAATTCCAAACTTCCCGGCCAGTTCATTTCCCCCATAAATTTGTCCTGTTCATTTCCTTTGAGGGCTGCCGCACCTGTCATATTAAAATATAGATTCATAGGTGAAGAGCTCAAGTCGAGGCGTGAGCGTTGGTAGTAGGTCGGAACGTCTTTAGCAGGGTTCACCTTGAGGATTTCGATTTCTTCATTGGATGTTAAAGGTGATTGTGGTTTCTGATTTGCTTTGAATTCTGATTTGCAATCCTTGCAGCAACGTGGATTCAAGCTGAATAGCCCGTCGGTGACCCACAGTCGAAGGAGTTTTTCGATTCCGACATACATAATGTTAGCATCGTGGAATAGGTCGTCTGTGATAGATATGGTATATTTTTTGATTGTCTCATCTTCAACATGAGTAGGAAACTTGGTACACTGGTAGTTAAGTATGATTTGATGGGCAAACAATTTGCTGAGTGGTGAGGCGTGTTTGCCCCTTGCTGGCACCAGAATATAGTCAATGAATAGGTCAGCTGAGGCATATTCGTCAATTACAAAGGATCCTGGCGAGATTTTGTGCGCCGCCTTTTTCAGAGAAGTTAGGCCACGAGATAATACAGATTTCATCCCATCACCTCCATGAATCTCTGACGAAACCCTTGCTGAGAAGTGACGGGTCAGCTTAGCTACAATATCTGAAACTTTCCCCTTTGATCCTAATACCCACAGCGGTGAGAAAGTTGGGAAAAGAGACTCAAGTGAAGCTGTTGCCCAGCAGCGAAACTTCTTGCCTTGTTTGGTGTTACAAGCCCAATAGGACTGGTAGGTGGAATGTGGATCTCGTTGAACATTTCTTGCCCCAACTGGTCGACCAAGTTTCTTGGTTCCAAATAAGGCTTTGTTGGTATCAGGAGGTCGGCCGTCATTTGTTTCAGCCCGCCGAGAAGCTCTTGGTTTTGACCAACCCATGGTTTCAACCACAGATTCCCAATTATTACCATACTTGATGGGAACACCTCGCAAAAGCTGCAGAAAATCTTTTTCAAGAGATGTTGCAAGTAGAAGCAGTTGCACGAGTCCTTGGAGAAGAGTGCAAGTGG